TAAATATAGGAGTAAAAAGCTAAGAAAAATAAATCAGCGATCAAAGTGCAAAATCGTGAGAAGTTTAAGGGGCACGAGTGCTTAAAAAGATTGGAAGAACCTTTGGTCTATGAAGCACTTCCTCTGTTTGATGCCCATTATCATGAACCTGCACCATCATAAAAATTCCAGGGACGAAGTGGTCAATCTACAAGAGGTTTAGGGAGAATAAGAGGATGTTTGGTTGATGGATTCAGAATCATGATTCAGAATCATTCTCGATTTACGTGTGTTTTTTGTGAGAGAAAACACTGTAGCAAACTACGAACCATGATTCGAACCATGGCACAAATTCTTGAACCAAACGCACTTTAAGTGATAAAACCGTTATAATTATTCCGTCCAAAATTATTGCTACAGGTTTTTAAATTTATGAGTAAATTGTCAAGAGAAAAAAATTTTAGGGACCAAAATGCTAAATCGTGAGAAGTTTAGGGGACGAAGTAAAAGAAGGTTATGAAAAACCTTAGATTTGTGAAGTTCTTCCTCTGTTAGATGCCCATTATCATAAACCTGCACCATCACAAAAAGTCATTGAAAAATGTTGGAAGTGAAATTACAAAATAAAAAAGAGAAAAAATTGAAGCAATTTTACCTTGACTGGTGGTGGTTGTAGGATTTCTGAACTAGTTTTCTGTTCCACAACTACTACAGGTTTGCTGCGGAGAAGTTCATTCTCTGATTCCAAATCTGCAACTTTACTCTTGAGGCTGTCCAAAGAAAATAATTCAGAATTGTGCTATGTAATCACCATTTTGGTATTGGAAAATTAGGTGGATGACCGGTTTTGGCCACCTCTTTTAATTAATGGCCGAACTTTTTTTTTTTTTGGTAAATGGTTGTTTTTTAATAATGGTTTAATTAGTGATATACCGATGGTTTGTTACTGATAATCCGGTAAATTATTAATTTGAAACTGGCTAATCTCTAATTGATGTTGGTTAATCAGTGATAAACCACCAAGTTAACCAGTATAAACCACAACTTAGTACATGAGTAATTACCTATTTTTAAAAGCGGTGATTTTCTGAGTTTAACAAAACTTGCACCATTTACTAAAAAAAAAAAGTTTAATAAAGGCCATTTACTTTGTAATTCATGCATTGTTTTGTCAAATGTCAATTTTGTTCGTAATTTGCATCTTAACTTGAGTTTCTTAGAAGTCAAGTTATATGAACAGTATGTGTTCGTGTGTGCTCCATAGGTGATGAGTCAATTTGTGTAAATTTATATTTCTCCATCAAAGAAAATCTATACTAATTTGTAGATTCTTACTTTGTCAACTCTTCGGAGAGGTCTTCATTGGTTGAAGCAACCAAAGCTTGTTGGCGAAGAACCTGATTTTCCGATTCGATGTTGGACAAGTTTAACTCCAGTCTGATGAGGGGAAAAAAAAAGAAGGTTATTCAAGCATAACGTCTACTGAAAATGAATGTTTGTGACCAATTCCTTTTTCTAGAGTTCAC